ATCCTTGATAGTTTCGAGTGGCGCCACTACACAGCCAGCCAGTCATAATGCCAACTTCAGGCATCGTGATCCTCAAAACTATTGGGTTGGCGCAGATAACACTGTTCTATTCGGACGCATTCATTTTCGAATATTTTTCAAAATACATCTACGTCTGCATCTCTTACAGAACTGACCCCAAGCCCGCTACACGTCACTGTCACACTATTAAACCCTTCGTTTGAGGCATGCGATATTGCGGTCACATTCTATTTGTCTCGAAACTCTCAAATTAGAAGAATACTAAAAGACAGACGTTTATCAAGTGATCATCTCACCGGCACAAGACATGGGCCATGGTTCTGGGACTGATGACGACGCCTCAACGATTATGTACGGGTTGTATAACACACGTAGAGCCGTCAAATTAGAACCGGCATTCCATAACAGTGGTAATGCAGCTATCATATTTGGCCTGCCATAAAGTGTTCGTGCCTCGTCGCCGTGTTTCGGAAAGTTCACAGGCAAGTGACATTTCGAACTGAGTTGACCGAATTGCCTCGGCACTGGTTCGTCATTTTATGTGGTATTATCACGGTAGCCTCGAACGTACTCCGACCAGCGCATCTGACCAGCATGGCAGCGACGACTTCGATGCGAAAATAGCCTATGGTCATTAATTCGACACACGCAGCTGTAATAGTTAAATGTGAGGGTTAGTTGCTTACTGATGATATATCAGATACGTAAAATTAACGTGAGTGGCAAAAAACGACACCCAAGTCCAATTTCCCATAAGAAATAATGTTAGAGAAGACAGAAATTTTGCAAATAACGTAGGTCTTGAAAAAGGCAATCGACTGGTTCACATTATAACAGTACACTCACTCTCTTTGAACAAACGTGTGCCATCCGGGTCTATTTAACAGAGGCCCTCGCACCTTTCTGAAGGCGGCGCTTGGTTTCCATCGAGCCTGGCTGACATTTGTTGTAGCACTCCTCTTCTGTGAGGAAATTGTTCGCGTTGCCGTCGCAGCCTCCGAAAGTGAAGCTCTCACAGACCCCCGACTTGGCGTGGAAGAAGTATCTCAACAGAACGGAGTCACAGCTCCCAGAAGTAGGCGGCAGGAGGCAGAAGTCTGGAGCGGACAGGCGCGGAACCCGTTACTTAGCTCACCAAGCGCCTAGGACGTGTGGCATCTGTAAGATCTGGTCAGCAGGCCAAAGAATCAAAGGCGAAATCATTGTTCGGACTATCGTCCTCGTCTAGTGTGCCAGTATATACACAACGTTTCGGTCATTTCACGCTCCAGCCGCCGTCAGAGTCCTAGGAATGGCTGGATTATGTCTTGTTTTCGGCCATGTTCTCGTCACAACCTGCATTGTCTCACTGGCATACCTAAGATTCAAAACAGAATTCTCACTTGCGAGTCCCGTAATCTACCAACTGAGCCAACCGGGAAGGGCTTTCTTTGTCAGTTTGGCTCACCACCAACTGAGCTACTGAGCTGACAGGGAAGAGCCTTCCCTGCTGGCTCCGTTGGTAAAGCACTGGACTCACAAAATGAAGACCTTGGCTCCAATCCCAGCCATACTGAAGACAGAACTCGGCCCGTGACGTGTATGGGGCTGAAAGTCAAACAACACCTGGGGGCTAAACAGCACCTCTGACAACGGCCCGAGAGTCAAATGGCCGATACGTTGCATGCGTATCAACACACCAGACGGGAACGTTAGCCCAAACAACAAGACCATCCACAATACGAATACCTTGTCTCAATCCTTCCGCAAAACTAGTCACAAAGTGCTTGGAGCGTTCGACATCCGCGGACGATGCACAAGCTTGGAGATCTGCACCATGTGACCCATGAATGACTTGTGTAAGTTTCAACGAATAGAAGCACTTAAAAATTGTCAAGAAAGCTTATGCGCATTTCGACCCTCACATGGTTTTCGAAAAGCCCATTTCAGTGTACAACATATGACGAAAGGTGACAAAACTCGAAACTGCCGTACGAACTAAGCTTCCTCAAGAACCTTAACTGATTATTTCCCGTGTTGATAATCTAACACAGACAACTCCCGTTGCAATTAGTGGTTAAGTCGTTCCAAATTACCAACTTGGTTGACACAGGTTGGGTTCGAACAGTACTAGCTCATGACGCCTGCTCGCTACCTACAGTGCGATTTTTAAAAGGCATTACAGTCGTGGGTCACCTTGACTGTCCGTTGGGACGCAGGTGTTCTTGCATTGCTCCAGACTGACGAAGTTGTTGGCGTTGCCGCCGCAGCCGCCGTACTCGAAGCTGGTGCAGGCGCCGCTGGTGGAGTCATAGCTGAACCGTATCAGGCGCTCCGAACAGCTGCCCGCGCTGGTCGGCAGGAGACAGGCGCCACCGCTCACCGACGCCAGTGACACTGCGCCGCACAAGATAGACGTCATAGGCACTGCACCGCACAAGATCGGGCCAGTGATACTGCGCCGCACAAGATAGATGTCATAGGCACTGCACCGCACAAGATCGGGCCAGTGATACTGCGCCGCACAAGATAGATGTCATAGGCACTGCACCGCACTAAGATCGGGCCAGTGATACTGCGCCGCACAAGATAGACGTCATAGGCACTGCACCGCACAAGATCGGGCCAGTGATACTGCGCCGCACAAGATAGATGTCATAGGCACTGCACCGCACAAGATCGGGCCAGTGATACTGCGCCGCACAAGATAGACGTCATTAGGCACTGCACCGCACAAGATCGGGCCAGTGATACTGCGCCGCACAAGATAGATGTCATAGGCACTGCACCGCACAAGATCAGGCCAGTGATACTGCGCCGCACAAGATAGATGTCATAGGCACTGCACCGCACAAGATCGGGCCAGTGATACTGCGCCGCACAAAATTGACGTCAGAGACACTGCGCCACACAAGATAGACGTCAGATACACTGCGCCACACAACGCCGCACAAGATAGACGTCAGATACACTGCGCCACACAACGCCGCACAAGATAGACGTCAGAGACATTACACCACACAAGATCAAGTCAGGGACACTGCGCCGCACAAGATAGACGCCAGAGACACTGCATCCGACAACGCAGAGGTCAGGGACGCTGCACCGCACAGTATCAGGTCAGGGACACTGCGTCACACAATATAGATGTCGTAGGCACTGCGCCACACAAGATCGATGTCAGAGACTGCGCCGCACAAGATAGACGTCAGAAACAATGCGCCCGCACAAAATAGACGTCCGAGACACTGCACCGCACAGCACAGAGATCAGGGACACCGCACCGCACAAGATGGGCGTCAAAGGCACTGCGCCGCACAAAACAGACGTCAGGGGCACTGCGCCACACAACACAGAGGTCAGGGGCGCTGCACCGCACAAGACAGGGTCAGGGACACTGCGTCACACAAAATAGACATCAGAGACACTGCGCCACACAAGATAGATGTCAGGGACACTGTGCCACAAAACACAGAGGTCAGGGACACTGTGCCACACAGGACAGACATCAGGGACACTGTGCCACAAAACACAGGGGCCAGGGACACTGCACTTCACGAAACAGAGGTCAGAGCTTCTGGGACGTAAAGCAAAGCGGTACGGGACACTGGGCCGCCGAATAAAAGGGTGAGGGACACAGGGCCGCAGAACAGGGTCAGGGTTGCAGGTCCACACAAATAGAGGCCAGAGAGAATTATCTTGGGAACACTGAGGCCGGGGACATTAGATCGTGGAACAAAGAGGGTAGAGGTCAACAAAGACAGTGATCAGGGGAACCGATATCCAGTAATACACTACTAAAAGGATATGAACAAGCCGAAGGGCAGGCCGGGACACTTGGGTCGCACAATCCATAGATCTGGGACAACGAGTCTCAAAACACAACAGTAAAAAATTCAAGACAGCCCAGCACAAAGATCAAGGACATTGGGCTGTAGAGCACAGAGTGCACAGGAACGGAACCGCAGGTATCAGGGGTCAGAAACATTGGCCAGTACAACACAAATCTGTAGGATCTGATGCGCAGAACACAGCGCACAAACCCTTTGCAGAACACGTTGGTGAAGTGCACTGGATTCGAAACAGTTGGTCGGCGGAGCATAATGGTCAGAGTGCAGCTCAGCGGACAGACCATGTAGACTGTGCGACCATATAGTGATCACGTACACACAGGAGCAACTAAGCAGAAAATAATGCGTCACACAGCCTTCAGACAGGCACGGCTGAGAGAAGTCACCAGGACCAGCCTTCTGACGGCGAAAGGTGTCCAAACTTGCCGCGACCACTGACCCAGATTGCCGCCCAAGGAGGCTGCACCAGACTTCCGCCTGTCGCAAGCCGCATTGCAGTCCGCCAGAGATTTGAAATTGTTCTCATTTCGCTTCGCAGCCGCTGAAGACGAACGGCACACAGCGCTGCTGCTCCGTGTCAAAAGAAGAAACGCTCCAGAGTCCTCGAACAGGGCCCTCTGTTCTTCGGAAGCAAACAAGACGGCTCCACCTGGCTGATCTCTGGAACGGTGAGAGATTCCATCTTATTAACACGCAAACGCTTCGTAAATGTAGGTTAACTACTCATCTTTGTCCGTTTAAACACGGTAATGGAAGCTGCTCGAAACCATTCCTTCCGCTGCTTTACCAATCCTTTTCCTTGAGCGTCCGACGTTTCTGGCAGCTAACTAGTTTCTCTCACGGGCTCACCTAGCAGCTCTGAAGTTTCCGAGAGGGCCCTGTACGCCACATCTTCGGCTGAAACAGGGCGCATCCGTGTTACAGCTACGGACGCTGAAATACCGGCGCGCGCGTCAGCTCTCAGCCACATATGCAAACAAACACGCCAAGGCAGAAAAATCAGGATCTGCGCCAATACAACGCACGTCAAGAAATTTGCTCCGTAGGACAAGGCGGCTTTTTCCAGGTAACGGTCAACAGGCAGTACACCGCTGTAGGACTGGATGCGTCCTTTGCATCCTCCTCCGGGTACGCACGGCATTTCCAGTCGACGGGGCAGCAGACGTCTGTCATGTAGACTGGCACACACTCGCTGTTCGCCCGGCTGCAACGGAGGGTCACCCTCTCAGCATTGCACTCGCCCTGGCGACCTCCACATCTTCACAACACGCAACAATGCCCCCGCAGCAACAGTGCAGCGGACCGTGCAAGGTTCAGCAAAGAGGCCATTTAACATCGCTGACACCTCCAGCAAGGACGGTCGATCGAGAAGCGGGTTAGCCATTGCTAGTACTACGACCAGCTCTGCTGGGTCCAAATGTAATTTACCGGTGCTGCCCCCACCTTATGCAGTGGCACCCACTGGGTTCAGGCGGGATTATTAGTACTGACCGAGAGTTCTGGTCGAGACAGTCGTTGAACCGGCAGCCGGGGCCGCCAGGGCCCTCGTACTCGGTGGTGCAGACACACGTGACGCACGGGTCGTCACGAGTCGGCATCAGCTCGCCCTCCACGTACGTGAGGCCGTCAGCCTGGCACGTGTGCCCCTGGCTGGACAGGCTGATGTCCGTCGAGCGGCGCCTGCGGGAGCCTGCGGACGGGCGCAGGCGTTGGCTTAGTCGGTCAGGCCGCGCAACAGAGCAGCCTCCACCAGCCTGATGGGAAGTCCTCTCTGTCTCGCGGGGATTTTCCTGGAAACTCCGCAGCAACGCGACATCCGACGTCAAGTACACACAATGCACTACACGTTTTACACAGCCAAAGCTGGCAGGAGCGTCTGGTGACCACACAGCACCGTACACCAGACATGCCCTCCGCGACAGACCCCCCCCCCCCTTCCGCGCTCGCGGCCGGGCCCCCACTGACCGCACTGGACGCTGACGGGGCAGCAGCGGTCGGGCCCCACTGACCACACTGGATGCTGACGGGGCAGCAGCGGCCGGGCCCCACTGACCACACTGGACGCTGACGGGGCAGCAGCGGTCGGGTCCCACTGACCACACTGGACGCTGACGGGGCAGCAGCGGCCGGGCCCCACTGACCACACTGGACGCTGACGGGGCAGCAGCGGTCGGGCCCCACTGACCACACTGGACGCTGACGGGGCAGCAGCGGTCGGGCTCCACTGACCACACTGGACGCTGATGGGGCAGCAGCGGTCGGGCCCCACTGACCACACTGGACGCTGACGGGGCAGCAGCGGTCGGGCCCCACTGACCACACTGGACGCTGCCGGGGCAGCAGCGGCCGGGCCCCACTGACCGCACTGGACGCTGACGGCGCAGCAGCGGCCGGGCCCCACTGACCGCACTGAACGTCGACGGGGCAGCAGCGGTCGGGCAGGTACAGCGGCAGGCAGCCGGCCGAGATCTGGTTCCAGACAGCGGCCGGACAGTCGACCTCGGCGCAGTCGATTTGCGGCCCCGAGCCCGGGTTGCTGGCGCACACGCAGTCACGCTTGCACGGGTCCAGCCGGCTGGCGGCCGGCACCCGCTCACCGGCGGCGTACCGCTTTCCGCGGTACGTGCAGGCGTCGTCGCTGCCCGCGTCCCGCACGTCGGCTGCGGCACGGCGGACGGCGTCAGGGTGTGGTCAACTTGGACGGCGGACGGCGTCAGGGTGTGGTCAGCTTGGACGGCGGACGGCGTCAGGGTGTGGTCAACTTGGACGGCGGACGGCGTCAGGGTGTGGTCAGTTTGGACGGCGGACGGCGTCAGGGTGTGGTCAACTTGGACGGCGGGCGGCGTCAGGGTGTGGTCAGCTTGGACGGCGGACGGCGTCAGGGTGTGGTCAACTTGGACGGCGGACGGCGTCAGGGTGTGGTCAGTTTGGACGGCGGACGGCGTCAGGGTGTGGTCAACTTGGACGGCGGGCGGCGTCAGGGTGTGGTCAGCTTGGACGGCGGACGGCGTCAGGGTGTGGTCAGTTTGGACGGCGGGCGGCGTCAGGACGGATCCGCCCCTCTGGGTTCGGTAAGGGCAAGTTGGCTGGGTTGACAGGGTCGGAAACACTTCTGAGATTTCGGCGCCTGCTGGCACGTTAATGATGTGAGTTTGACGTACGGCCTGAAGCTCCGGCTTCCTCCGCACAGAAGTGTCCGAAAGTTTCAGGGTGGTATTTCAAGGTGTTTAAGGAGTCATTTTACCTCCGTCACAGTCATGTATATATATATATATATATATATATATATATATATATATCACCGTTGGTCATATACATCCACGAACACGACTACTTGGTTGCTTGCCCGGTGCATAAAGTTGCCCCTGATGTGTCTTAGCATATCTGCGGTATGCTTGCTGGACAAGTGCATACATACTTTGACGTTACGTCATAGCAGCATTTTCAGTATACTCACGACAGTCAAACCGCGTGGGACAGCAGGCCTGGTTTTCATACACAGGCTCACAGCCCTTATCCAGGTTATTTTTGTACAGGGACCACGGACACCTTCTCCTGTCGCATTGGTTGTCTGAAAACAAACACATTCGCATCAAATGCGCGCCATTTTTGCCTTTGCTCGAAATAACACGCACACCTGGAATCTTGACGACACCTACGTCCGAAACGCTGCCCGATTTGATGGCGAGGATTTAGACGTCGTCTCCATTATCGAGTTCCCGGACAAGTATTCGAGTGCCGACTTTCACCTGGTGCTAGCGATACCAGCATGTCGTAATAAAGTGACATGTGATATAATTTGGATCACAATCACATCAAGCATCGCGAACACCGCGCTCTCCCCAAGCCATCAGTCGCGCTTGCTTGCTGAGCGCGTGAGTGCGCACTCAGCTCTCTCCCAGTCTATTCGACCAGTCCTTTAAAATGAAAATTAGGTAGTCCGTAACGCATTTGCGAACGCGAACTGCCGGCTGCGGCTGAACGCAGCAAACTTGACGCTGCGACTCACGAGATTATCAGCGCCACACGATCGCGTGGTCAATCCGACGGAAACCCGCGCCCGCCAGGAGGCCACCAGCCTTCGAGTCGACGCGCAGCGCGAATCTCACCATCACTGGTGTAGGTGCCTCCGCACGCCTGGATGCATTTCGTGAGGCTGCGGAAGTTGTTCTCGTTGCCGCCGCAGCCGGAAAAGCCGAACTGACGGCACTTGTCGGCGGCCGTGTCGAAGTAATAGCGCGGCATAACATCGAAGCAGGGGCCCGATTTCACGGGCAGCCGGCAGGCGGCAGCCCGGCTGCTCTGCGCGCCACCTAGGGGGAAAACCACAAACGTCGGCCTGTGTGCCGGGCCGGCTGTCGCGCTGGCGTTGATCGCGAGAATTTGCCATGCTCACGGAATTGTGTGTGGCCATGGAATCGGTGTGAATCTAGAATTCAGTACAACCACACCGGTGACACGAATGCGATGTACACCTCACCCACCTGGGGCGGCACTCATCCATCTGCTCTACTTCCTGGACGCCATTAACTTCGTGAGTGCCAACGTGAGGTAACCAAAAAAAAAAAACCAACCGCCAGCTGCGCCCGGATAGCTGCAAAACACCAACACCAAGGGGCGAGTCGAGAAAGCAACAGCTTATTTAAAAATAAACGAGGCAAACGCGCCGCGCACGTGCATTGCTCGCCCCGTCGACCGCGCGCCACTGACCTGCGGCGCAACGCTTTCTACACTGTTTGCGTGTGCGGAAGAGATTGCGCGTGCCGCCACAGCCGCCGTAGATGTAGCGTCGGCACTTGCCGGCGGCTGCGTCGTACGTCCAGCGGCGAATGAAGCCATTGCACGGATCGCTGTCCGGCTCAATCGGCGGCAACTCGCATACCGCCAGTTCCTTGGCGCCGCCTGCGGCGGGAATGGCGTGCGTTTAACACCAACACCGTGTCCATTGTGCGTGTGCGTGCGTGCGTGCGTGCGTGCGTGCGTGCGTGCGTGCGTGCGTGCGTGCGTGCGTGCGTGCTTGCGTGTGGATGTCACAGGGGCATTTGTCACAATAGCCTTTGGTAAGCAGATGTACGAATCTTGAAACGATGAGCATCAGATGTCTGTTATGTAGGCCAAGAGCCTTAAGTTGTGACTTAGTACAGTAAGCGACGCAAGAGGAACACGACACCGAGTGAAACTTCTTGGAAGAGAGGGTTACGCGTGCAGCAAGCCTCAGTTGTGAACAACTCGTCGCAAACGAGATAGGCGTGGAGTGCTGTTGTACCGGTATACAAAAGAGTTACTCTACAGTGCTATAGCACAAGGCCAACAGCCCCAATGAACTCTGAGCCCAGTCGTTGCTGAGCCCGTGATAGCAGTCAGTGCGGATGCCCCTTGAAAGGCTTTCCATAACTTTGCAGTAGAAATGCCCCGGGCTAATTTCATCGTCCAGGCGTCCAGCCAGATGAGCTCTCACTGCCAGTCGGGTCAGATGGGACAGTCCTCTATCTCGCACCTAGTATCGCTGGGTTACGAGTCCAACATACTTCCCCTATATCAGAAAGACGACAATGATATTTCGAAACCTCAAACAAAGGCGCCGGCCGGAGTCGCCCACACCAGTGTCGTGTTACCCGTGCCTTGCGACCGCCCGTGTCGACCCTACCTTTGTTGCTGGGCTTGCCAGGTCCACACTGCTTCAACGTGCAGACCGCCCGCCCGCCAATGCAACGGCATCGGTTGCAGTCCTTTCTCCACACCGAGTCCTCTCTGCATTCACCTTAAAGGAAGGGCCGGAGACGTTATCACCGCGCATGCATTGAACTGTGTGTATGCACTTGGGTTTCCCACTTGCGCACTCCGAGAGCTAGTTCCTTCTCGCTAGTATTTTGTAAAGCAAACGCGCAACATAATCTTCGTTCCCAAGAAGTAGGAGACATGTTCTGAAGAATTCGTCAAGACACCATGCATACACGCTACGGCCGATCTCTGCGTCCATGACATCTGAGCTTTGCAAACATCGCATCCGTCCCCAGCGCCAGTGTAATAAGTCAGTGACACAGATATGTTCACTAAGTGAACCAGTGCTGGAGCAGGAGGAGCAGAAGTCTCACCGGTAACCTCGTCGATGAAGCTGATCTTGGATGGACACAGCATCTTGGTGCATAGGGGCCGACCCCTGACGCAGTCACAGGTGTTACAGTCCTTCTTCCACACGCTGCCCTCGAGACAGGTGGCTGAAATCAGCACGAGCATGCGTCCAAACGTTTGGAATGGATGACGTTCTGGATAATATATCGGTCGGGTGTTTAGCGCTTGATGAGCCCCATCAATGTTCAGTTCCTCCTGCAATGCTCATATTCAAATATCACAGTGGACAAGGCGATGCACTAACAAAACTGACCCCACTTTGTCAATATGAGCGATAATTTGAGGACGATTTCACACGCACACAAATCGGCGAGTCTGCCCCGTCGGCGCACGGGTCGCGCTCACACTACAATGTCACACGATAGCAAATATGTCTGCATGGCTGGCACTCGGTTCACGCTTGCAGCTCCCCCCCCCCCCCCCCCTCCTTGCATCCGTCAGACTCGCCCTGTTACGCCATAAGTCGCGTGACGTGACGCGGCCCCCCGGTCTACAGCTGATCATGGCCTAGGACGGCCCAGACCCATGCGGCATGCCGAAGCATGGCCGCGTGATGCTGGCCGACCGCCGGTCCGGGAACGCGAACACGCAGGGCACTGAGCTACGTACTGAAACCGATGGCACAGAATACAGCCAGTACTTTCTAAGACACGAGCCCATACCATGATACCGGGCCTGCTCCAGCTCTCACCACGCTCGTTGGCCTGCGGGACAGGGGCGTCAGACTGGGGTTGCTCCTTGGCGCACAGCTTCTTCGTGCAGGCCGGCTCTCCGTTGATGCACGCGCAGGTGTTGCAGTCCTCTTCCCAGGCAATGCCCTCTAGGCACGTATCTGCGGCAGACAAGGCAGGCCGTGAACGGCGGAAATGCATTGGGCACGCTGGAAAGGCGCCTGAGCTCGGTATCGAAAAAATGCTAGCATGCACGGTGCACAAACGAAGTATATCGCACCACGCAACTCAGACCGACGGCGACAAGCCATCCCTACACCACCATCGCCGGCTGAGCGACTGAGGGCTCCGCACATAAGGTGCGGAGTGCGCGTCAAAAATCACGTGCCATCGTCGTTCAGCTGGCCGACGCAGAAGAAGAGGCCCATCCGCCATTTGACCCTTCCGCATTGGTCACTTGGCCAGCGTGAGCGACGGCCCGAGGCGCAGCAGAACAGCGCATGACTGACCCGGCTTCATGCACAAGGCGCCGCAGCCGTTGGAACAGCACTTCTCGTCGTCCGGGCACATGTCGTCTCCGTTGCAGCCGTTGAAGCAGAATCCTAGCGTTCCCGGAGGCACGTACGGACACTCCCCCGGCTTTTTGTTACCACCTGCGGGCAGGGCCAGGGTCAGGATGTCGGCGGAGTTAGCCAGGACACGGGGGGGGGGGGGGGGAGTCACGAAAGTAATGACAAAAATATCGTCTGACATATCCTTTTGGACCGTTGGGCGACTTACAATCAAACACACACATAAAACTTTATGAAAAGCTGAGCAGCGCGTGGGATAAAGAAAAACGTTGAAGGCCTCCGGGCATTTCGCTTAAGGCTCCAAAACGCACACGTGCCTGCAGGGCCGTCTCCCGACCTCACCTCCCCGTTCGAAGCCGACGCACGCCTTCTTGGTGCAGGAGACGCGGCCGCCCTGGCAGCGGCACGTGTTGCAGTCATCCTTCCACTGTTCGCCGTCGTTGTCGCAGGTGTCACCGTCGGGCACGACGAAGCGCACGGGCACGCCGGGGCGGCCGCCCTCCGGACACGGCCGGCGCGTGCAGCGCGGCTCGCCGCCGATGCACTTGCAGCGGTTGGTGCACTCGTCGATCCACTCTTCGTCCTCCGTGCAGGGCCCTGCGGCGAGCAGAGGAGCCAATAACGAGGTCCGTCGGGCAGGAATCAGAGGGAGACCTTCGACGGGTGTGGCGATGCCCGTGAATGGGGTAGTATGCCGATTGAGTATGCTCAAGGAACGGGTCATATTGTTGGCGCCACCTGCTCGCATACAGACATAGGATTGGCGAGTTGCTACTATGACTTTTTTGAAACCCTCAGTCCAGTTCACTACCACTTGAGTTACATATACCTCCTCTTTCACCGAGCAGCAACGAGGCTCACATCGGCGAGGAGCAGCAGGAAGTTTGGGGGGAAGCGGCTGCTGACCTTCGTCACGGATGGGTAGGTCCATCGGGGTGCAGATCTGTTCGGTGCACTGGACTCGACCCTCGGTGCACGTGCACCGAGTGCAGTCTTCTTTCCACGTGCGGCCCTCTGCGTCGCACGCTTCCCCTGCCTTCGGAAGATCCTCCACCCGTTCACCGGCCTGCGCGGCACATAACTTGTCATACCGCGCCCTGCACGTCATCCGCGAACATCGGACACCTCTCACCGGCATTTTACCAAAACTGCGCCACTCAGGCAACACCCTCCACTATTCCAGCATTTTTAGGAAAGATTACACGCTTTTAGCGCCCGAATGGGCTCAGTTACTGGCATCACTTGGCTGTCAGGCTGCCGAGCTGGAGTAACGCGGAGCCAGCTGGAGCTAACAACTGGAGCTAACAGCTGGAGCTAACAACTGGAGCTAACAACTGGGGCTAACAGCTGGAGCTAGCAGCTGGAGCTAACAGTTGGAGCTAACAACTGGAGCTAATAACTGGGGCTAACAGCTGGAGCTAACAGCTAGAGCTAACAGCTGGAGCTAACAGCTGGCAGGAGCCAACCTTAAGCAACAGCTCCGGTCGGCGAAAGCTGTGCCTTTGCAGGGCAGGTGGGGCATGCCGCACCACGAGCACACGGCAGGAGTTGGCTGACCTTCTTTCCTGGCGGGCACGCCTTGAGGGAGCAGGCGGCCTGGCCGGACGAAGTGCAGCGGCACGTGTTCTCGCACTGATCAGTCCACTTGGAGCCGGGCAGGCAACGAATCCCTGTCACACGCAACAAAGGGCACTGAATTCAAAGCTGAGAACCACGTGCAGTACCTCATCGCACGTAGCACGAGCGGGTTGTGTGACGGCAAATATCGCTTTCAGTCACGAGGAAGCAGTGACACTTTCATGGTCGATGTAAGGTTTATTTGAGAAAAACCGTACCTCAAACCAACATGATAGATCACTTCTACAGTCCCAATAGTATTGCGTCAATTTGGCATGATTACACGGACAGTCCCACAGCACTGATGACTGTGGCCCGGGAATCCACGCAGAACTCACGAACGCTCACAATGAAGTTAACAGGAATATAAGAACCATGGAGTTCGAAGCTAGACTTGAATCTCACTAGCCTGGAGGTCTAAATCCGGTCCAGACCTCCCTGATCTATACGGTCAAACCTGTCCCTGACCTCAATAACCTGAAGGTAAAAACTATACCTGTCTCTCCTCCCTACCTGACCCTTCCTAACGCCAAGGTTTAGACCTGGCCGCGACCATCCCTCGCTTGACGAACCAAACCTGACTCTGCCCTCACTGGCCTTTACATGAGACCTAGCTGGATGCGACTCTGCTAATACAGGCGTTCAAAACTGAACGCTGACCTCCACTGACCTGGCGGTCCGAACCTGGCTGAAACGCCTGTCTCCTGGCAGATGTCCTCAGTACAGTTGACGCGACCTTCGGTGCAGCTGCACGTGTTGCAGTCTTGCCGCCAGGTGGCGCCCTCTTCTATGCACGTGTCGTTGACGGCCGACACGAACTTGGTGGGCACGCCGTACTGGCGGCCGTACGGGCACGCCTTGAGCGTGCAGTAGGAGACGCCGTTGGGGCTGCAGCTGCAGATGTTGTCGCACTCGTCCAGCCAGCTGGAGCCGGGGCGGCACTGCTGTACTGTGGATGACGCAGGCGTCAGCGGTAGGTCCGGTCACGTGCAGAGCCCCGCAGGCTGGCTCACCGCGGGGCTCTGGCGAGCAGGGACCGCGCAGGGACCGCGCAGAGCTGCGCAGGGACCGCGCAGGGCTGCGCAGGCTGGCCCACCGCAGGGGTCAGGCGCGCACGGACCGCGCAGGGACCGTGCAGAGCATCGCTGCGATGCGCTCTGCGGCTGCCGAGCAGAGCACGGGTCTCACGTGCACACGCGCTATGGTGACTCCAGAACTGCTGGTATTTTGCCATTGGAGTGTTCAGAGCAAAGATAACGTGCACAATTCCGCCAAGACATAGAACAATCGACCAAAAGTTTAACCAGCATCTGTGTGCGGGAGAGAGCGGCCTCGTCTAAATAGCTTCACCTAATGTCATCATCTCTCTGGGACTCCCGGCCCCATCACCCTGGGGCTGACCCGCCATCGCCGCACCGCAGCTGCACAGTTTGTGCCGCCCACGCCCTCGAACCCCACGCTCCACACCGGGCCGTGGAGAGCGAGAAGAGTGACGCCGCGCTCACCTGGCACGCCGTCGCGCTCTTGCTGGCGCTGCCGGCAGGCGCCGCGCGTGCAGGCAGTGACGCCGTCCACGCACTGACAGGCGTTGCAGTCGTCGTGCCAGGTGCCGCTGCCGTCCTCGCACGGCTCGCCCAGCCGCGGCAGCACCTTCAGCGGCCGGCCCGCCTGGCGACGGCGGCGGTCAGTGGCCCGCCTGTGTGGGCTGCACACCGCGACGGACGCGGCGACCACGGGATCCCGTGTGTGGGTCAGTGAACCGGATACGGGGTCAGACACCTCCTCGTCCGCCCTGAGCATGGTATCACTGCATGCCGTATTCAGTGAGAGGATATGTCCGCCATCAGCCCAGGGGTGAATTGAAACTCGAGCCGCCCTTGATTATGGACTCTTTCGGACCCAGAGAAGCTCCACCAGCGCACCAGCAGGTAACAACTGGGGACGGTGCTATAGGCAGGCTCTTTGCAGATGGCCTTGTTTTTACCAGTCAGCTTAATTTCACATTATCCCAATGGTTCGAACGGGCCAGGAGGCTCTTCACACTCGTGATTTGTCGGGTGACTGACCTGTTTTCCGGGGGCGCAGACCTTCAGCGTGCACATGACGAGCCCGCCGTTGGAGCAGCGGCAGTTGTTGTCGCACTCGTCTGTCCACTCCTTGTCCTCCTCGCACTGCTTGTCAGAATCTGGCTCTGATCCTGTGCAGCATCGAACTAACGTAAACAGGTCTGCAGCAACATTTAAGCAATTAGGCGACTATATGGTGACATCAAGCATACACAACGATATTAGGGCAAATTCTCAGCCGCACCCACGACGATAAAACGAATCCTGCATCGACACGGAACATTGACGACTGAATGTATCCCCACACAACGAACTAGCAACACGCAACTTTTGGGAGCGATGTTTCAACAGCGACAAAAATGGCAATTTGTACCAAAACCCAACAGCCATCAGGCAGAGTTTAAGATGCATCGGGGGAGCACCCCCCCCCCCCTCCATCCCCCCCCCAGCTTATGTTCCTCGACCCGCCCCTGCGACAGCAGCCCAGCCGGTAGCACGCCGCCCGCTGCCCCTCACCGGCGAGCAGAGGCGCGCGCAGCAGTTGCCGCCTGCAGGGGCGTGAGCTGCAGACCACTAGGCCGTCCAGGCAGCGGCACATGTTGCAGTCGTGCCTCCACGAGCTGCCCTCGTCCGTGCACGCGTCGCCGTCCGCGTAGATGTACCTGTTGCCCGAGGGCGGTGCGCCAGAGCAGTGTCAGACGCCAGGTCAAGCCGATCGCGAGACAGGGAAGGCTTGGGGCTCGTCTCGTCTAGTGAGAGCTGGCTCTGCTTTTGTCGCCCAAACAAGGTTCAGCAGTAGGTATTTATAATTGATAAGGGATGCATTCGAACATGAGCGGGTGGTATACGTGAAAACAGCGGTTATGCCCACAGGCCTCCGGAAGCGGACTTTATGCAAAGGACAGCTTGTGTTTGGAGCTTCAGCAAAAGCGCATGCTCGCTTTTCGTGTAGAAAAACAAGAGCGCACAGTAACCGTCATTTTGATCGTGTTTGTTGCGTTGTTCAATCACTAATATTGTGTTTATGCAGAATGCTGTGTTTAATGCAGAATACGCTGGTTCCTTTTACAATTCATCACTAGCACATTAACAGCGCAAACGAACTGCTCACATACCCTCCCACAAAACTACGAGACCACTAAAAACCTGTTAATAGCACCCATTTTGCATGGGTCGCTCGTAGGTTCCTGTTCGTGTGCGCTGATAAGCAAGCCGAGGCGAAACCTTCACTTATCACGTCCTCACCCAGACGAGTTCACTGTTCAGTACAGACCTCCCAAAACAGTCTGCTATGTGCCTTCTGGTATAAAGCAGATTTAGCGTGCCATAAGCAGTGAGGCCGAGAGACTCGGGTTTATAAACAGAAACAAGAGCTCGCTGAGAGGCATGGGACCATGGTGTTTAACTGCCAGCTTTATGGAGCTCCCAGGTCCCCCCATGTTGGTACAGCTCACAAACACGACGCGGGAGGCGTCGCAGTAAAGTCAGCTCGCGAGAACAACGGAATCACAGACGGCGTGTGCTTCACACTGAGTGCGAAAAAGTCGCTTCTCATGTAAACTGTTTTGGAGTCCGTTCAAATTCCCACACTGTGAGAGTAAACACTTCCCTCCCGCTCACCATCCAAGCCACCGATCGCGTTCGGAACGCCAAGGCTGTTTGACGCAACTCGTGCAAAGAACCACGGAGTACATGTGAACATATGCCTCAGTGATTCAGAATCCTGCTTGATAAACTGAGTGAGGATCTGTTTCGAAGCCAAACGTAGTGATTTTTAGAAGGCAGCTGGAGAGACCTGGTGGCTGGACTTAAGCCCTGGTCAGTAGGGTACGAACTTTGCCAGCCCCAAATACATTTTTAGATTCCTTCGACTGCCGGCCAGATCGTGTCTGGGCGCTCCGAGCGCACCTCGCGAGAGACATGAACCTGTACCCGAGTGCCAGAAAGGTGCCTGAAGGTCATTAGTGTCTGAACGCCCGTTGCGAAGCAACGCTTCTCGTGAGAGCTGTGACCTGGTCAGCGGTCGTCAGTCACTGCCATTGGCCGGTAACCGGCGGTCAGGTCAGGCTGCCACTGGACCTTATGGAAAGCAGGGACTGACCGGCAGCCGAGTCCCACAACTGAGCCCATAGCCGGTCTGGTGCCCGGCGGCCGGCCCCCTGTGGACACATTCACCATCCGGTCCCGACGGTCGTCCCATCCCCGGTCCGCGCGCACCTGACGGGTACCATGGGCCGCTTGCCGGGAGGGCACGACATCAGCGTGCAGGCCGAGTGGCCGCTGTCCGGACAGAAGCAGGTGTTGTCGCACTCGTCGATCCACCGCTGGCCGGGCGTGCACGTCAGGGCTGGGGACACGCGGCGCCGGGTCACCCAGGAGACGTGCGGACGCGGCCGGCGGCCTGAGCCGCTGGAACGGCACGAGGCGGGCTGCAGGGACAGTTCGTGCGGAGGCCGGCTCAGGGACGGCGCTGACGCATGGAAGATGAGCTCAAAGACAGTAGTTTCCAGTTTGCTGGGAGTTCATCCAATACACGTATCTGTGTAAATAACGGCATGTATTTCCAGCCGAGGGAGCTCGTCCAATGGCGCCAATTAAACCGACTAACTATCACCAACTGCGCTCATCCTTGCATGCCGGCTCAAAGAGGGCTTCGAATGGTCCGGGCTCTGGTCTGAGTCCTACCAATCGTCACACACAGGGCTTCGAATGGTCCGGGCTCTGGCCTCAGTCCTACCAATCGTCACACACAGGGCTTCGAATGGTCCGGGCTCTGGTCTGAGTCCTACCAATCGTCACACACCAATCGTCACTGAGTCCTATCAATTGCAGCACGCTACACTGTCGTACCATATCATTGTGTTATAAGCTCCAATATCTACAGGACTCCATGGATCCAAGGCTTGATGTCACGTGATATTATCACGACAAGCAGACATGTGCAACTGTCGCGGACACTTGTGCCAGTCATTCAAAACATGGCCAATGGCAGATATGGCACTTCACTTCCGCGTCGCGACGAACATCTACCAGGCAGTGATAGCATGCCAGTGACGCACAACATGTCTGAGACGATGGCATGCCAGTGACGCACAACATGGCTGAGGCAGTGGCATGCCAGTGACACACAGCACATGGCTGAAGCAATGACATGCCAGTGGCGCACAACATGGCTAAGACAATGCCATGCCAGTGACGCACAACATGGCTGAGGCAATGACATGCCAGTGACGCACAACACGGCTAAGACAATCCCATGCCAGTGACACACAGCATGTCTAAGGCAATGGCATGCCAGTGACACACAACATGGCTGAAGCAATGTGATGCCAGTGGCGCACAACGTGGCTAAGGCGATGGCATGCCAGTTACACACAGCATGTCTAAGGCAATGGCATGCCAGTGACACACAACATGGCTGAAGCAATGTGATGCAAGTGGCGCACAACGTGGCTAAGGCAATGGCATGCCAGTGGCACACAGCATGGCTGAAGCAATGGCACACCAGTGGCGCACAACATGGCTAACATGTGTGATCTTACCCGTGAACGGCGAGACGAAGCGGACGCTCTGTCTCTGCTGCTGACAGAACTTCTTGGTGCACTTGACCACGCCCCCCGTGCACGAGCAGGTGTTGCATTCCTCCTTCCAAGAATCGCCCTCATTTTTGCAAGCGTCTCCGTCAAAGACGATGAACTTGACCGGCTTTCCGGCAACCCTGCCTTTCGGACATCCCATCCTGATGGCAGAGTAGGGCAATCGTGTGGTAGACATTGGCTTTGGTGTCATCGATGTTCCTCACCATCCAGTGGAGAAAGTTGCGACAAGGATCACTGCAAGGCGTGCATTATTGCTGCCATATATGACAAACGGTTATCTTTTAACTGCTGCTGCTAATGCTGCTGTTGGCTCCCTGCAAGAGCGTAGTCCAGTACACTTTCCTACAACCATTACGGATACGATGCCCCGCCTAGAATGGGTGTAATATTCTACCTGCAGCGGACACTCTGTCCCATCCACAAAGGACATCTTGATCCACCGAAAGCGGACATTCTGTCTCACCAAAAGCGGACACCTCGTCATGCCCGGAGCGGACACCTGGTCATCCCCGGGCCCTGCCCGTCCCTGAGCCGAAGCGCTGCCACCCTCCTCTCACCCTCCTCAAGCGGACCCACCCTCCAGCGCTAAGGCGCGCTCACCTGGTGCAGAGCGGCTGGCCGAGCCAGCAGCCACAGATGTTGCCGCATTCGTCCTCCCACGTGGTGTCCTCCTGGCAGCTCATCCAGTCCGGCTCGGCGGCGGCGGTGGCGGCCACACCCTGCTCCGGACAGCCGCGCTGAGAGCACGACACGCGGCCGGCGGCGCACGAGCAGCGGCCGCAGCCCTGCTGCCATCGCTCGCCCTCGTTGGTGCACGTCGAGCCGGCCTCGAGCAGGAAGTGGACGCGCGCGCCCTCCTGCGGCGGCAGGCCGACACGAGGATCAGCAGCCGGTCGGCGCCGTGCCGCTGGATCCCACGAGGACGCAGATAGGGGTGACCCAAGCAGAGGGGACGGCAAGCCCATCAGCTGACTTCAGTGTGTTACGCACGATGGCTGGAGGTCCCGTAGGGTTTGTTTGGGTCAGCCAGTCAGCAACACTCGTCACGTTTCAAAATGTTTAATGCCCCGTGGCGTGAAGTAAGTCACAATAGCCCAGGTTCCACACGGACTCTAGTTAAGGTACATACAGCCTATACGTGTGCTTTAAATTGGCCACGGACCCGGATGTTTTTAAGAAAGGCCTGCTTCGACGTTACGCCCATACTAGATGCATCCCGATTTGCGGATGCGGCTGCTCTCACACACGAAGACTACGAGAATTCTGCAATCTTGAGTTAATGGGCAAGATGCCTGCGGTGGTTTACCCCACATGTTCAGCGGATCACTCTCTGGACCACATAACGATCAAGACGGCACGATCCATGTGGTGTCGAGTCTCCACCCAGCCCTCGTCAGCCTACTCGCGGCTTCTGAGCCGGCCGCAGCGCAAAGCGCTGGGATGACCATCCGCCGATCCCACGCCCCATGAGCCGATTTAAAGGTCAGAATGATGATGGTATGACTTGCACCAGCATCATTTTTAATTATCTGTGGCGGTTGGCCTATCATGACGGTTCGAATGAAGAAAACCGCGTTTTTGCAGATTCATTGTCGCTCTTCGTAACCGCAACACTGGTTCAGTTCGAAAACGGAAACCAATCGCTTTCACGGGATGACGTAACGTCAGCCGAAGACGTTTCATGAACCTACCTTACATTGACCATAGTTCAGCTTTCAATCGGAATATTCATGTACGTCGGGTATAAGCAAACAAAAAAGGCTCGAATGTCGCTACTTTGAGCTCTATTTTCAGCCTGACCTGACGAGGCCTGGCATTGCATGACCTTCAGAAAACGTCAACTTGACATCCATCAGTTTCATGATTTGGTTCGTTAGCACGGTCAGTTAGCTTCGACGGCTTTATCGGCGTCCATTAACAACTCAGTCCACATTTTTCATTTTCCACATTTTCACCGCACACGCCTTTGCAAGAAGATCATAGGTCCCCTAACTGACAGGGTAGGAGCTTGACAATTACAGATCAGAAGATATATGTTTAAAAGCAGATAGGATTTTAACAAAATACCTTAAATAATGTGGGAGAAACCTCTCAAACATTGGAGGCGGGTTCAAACAAACCCCCTGCCCTTGGAACGGTTAACCGAGTCTTGGTCACTTTCTTACACGTCAACAAATGTTACGCAGCCATGCGGATGACGCGGTCAAGACATCTGAACACAATGCGTTAGAACGTTGGGTTCAAAACACCCAACGCCGCGCGATTCCACACACGCACGCATGCTACATTGGATCGTGAGAATGGCTTCCCTCGCGTGCCCGTCACGTGGTGCCAGTTGGATGCCGACCGATATTGATGATGCGCAGCGCATCTCAACAGTTCCTTGGGCTCAAAGAGGTAGGTGTTGCACACGCCCACATACGCTCTACAAGCACTCTTGCACCGTACCTGCCTGCCATAAGGACACTCGTTGAGGGTGCATTTGGGAAGTCCACTCTCGGAGCAGTAGCACAGGTTATCGCACTCGTCCAACCAGCGCGTGCCGGTCTGACACTCCCCTGCGAACAAACAGGAACAGGTGGTTAACTAGCAAAGCGTTATCAGCACGTGATCTCACAGATATAAGAGAAATGGTCGGAAAAAATTGTTTTGGTGTATTTTGCGGTTTCGTCCCCCCCCCCCCCAAGCATAAAAGCGGGTTGCTAGGAAACTATCAGCTCTAACCACATAGCACGTGACGAATAACCGCAAGTGTTATGCAACAGCTATTCACATCATGTACGCGCTCACCGAACTTCTCCGGCTCCTGCCGCTGGGCACAGAGCCGGCGCGTGCAGCTGACCACGCCGCTCGTGCAGTCACACGTGTTGCAGTCCTGCTGCCAGCGCTCGCCCTCGTTCTGGCAGCGATCACCCGAGCGCAGGATGGGTCTGAGCCGGGCGCCGGCGCGCTGGCCGGGACCGCACGCCAGCAGCGTGCACGCCGGCACGCCGCCCTCGGTGCACTCGCACAGGTTGCCGCACTCGTCCTCCCATCGATCGTCCGGCTCGCACGGCTCTCGAAGACAGAGGTCAGATGTCAGGGGGAGTGGAGGGAGGCGGGGTAAGCGGGGGTGAGCGGTGGGAATGGGGGGTGGGAGCGCCGGGTCGGGGGGGGGGGGGCGACGCCAGGTACGGAGCGTGGCAGGACTGATGCAACGTACATCAAAATGGTGGCGTGGTGTTTGCTGTAGGCAGAATCAGCTGCCGCAGGAGTGACGGGCAGATTTAATATTCCATTTCTGAAACCACGAATAATATCTCGGCGGTTACTGTAGCGGCGATATATTCATACATCCGTGCAACTCCAACTACCCTGAGCGCACGGAAACTTGTTATCCGGTTATTATCAGAGCATGTAAACCTATTATTGCATCATTTCGCTTCGAGTTGAACACTGCGGTTTACATACGAGAAACCGGAATGTTCTCAGCGAAGCGAAGAGTAATAAGGATTCTGACTGTTGGTCTGAGCCGTTACCTTGAAAACGGCAAAATTGAGCGCCATTTTAAATGCGCACGGTTTAAGTTGAACACAGTGCACATGTAGGTGGCCTCAAACATTATTCAATTTGGCTAAACATTCGTCCAATTTGGCTCGACATTTTTCCACTGGCAATATCAACTGTTTATTCATTACGACGGCCTCAGCGTCATTGAGGCCACATCAGATTCTGCTCTTCTGCTGGCTGCACAAAATGTCTACAGGAGCAGAAACAATGCGACCTGTCCAGCGAGAAACGGATGACACACGCATACCACAATGCAAAAAGTTACCACCATTTGGCCAGATCGCCTAACTTAGTAAAATACGTAATCATGTGTCGGAATCCGAGATTTGTCCGCCTTACCATAACTTAGTGATTTGCAAGTTTGCCAAAGGACAATAGAACCTCCTTTTGCCTACAGCCTTGATTTTAACGAAGCTGTCATGTGGACATCGAAGCATAGAACAGCTGCTCATCTCACACCATCGCTCCGAAAATGAGCAACCAGTAAAGATCTGACCCGTTTTACGAAATCTGACTGCTTCCCACATGACGTAAATCTCCGGCCTGCCCACATCACCTCACGCCCTGCAAGGCACTCGCCCACCGCAGCTCGCCGGCCGGACTCCACCTGCGGCCGGCATGCCCGCTCGCTTACCGGGTGTCTGGGGCGCACGCCGGGGGCACGGCGCCGACTCGCAGACAGCCCTGCCCTCCACGCACGAGCAGCTGTTGCACTCGAGCGTCCAGATGTCGCCCTCGGCGCACGGGTCGCCGGCCGTGCGCACGAACGTCATGCTGCGCTCACTGCGCACCCGCGGCGGGCACGGGCCCACCGTGCAGCGGGTCTTGCCGGACGCGTCGCACAGGCACCAGTTCCCGCAGCCGTCCTTCCACTTGCTGCCGGCGAGGCACGAGCCTGGAACCGGCGCCGGCCGATTGGGCAGGTGGGACGGGCACGCTGACGCTGGCGCTCATGGCGGGGTGTACACCGGGCTTCCCCGCTACCACGACCAGCACCATGATCAGCACCACGATATGTGACGAGGCCGATTTCGACATACATCCTTGCCATCCGTAACAGTCGGCATAAGAGCAACTGTTGCGCTCTCGCACGTGGTGAATGTGTCGCCATGCAGATTCATGCACAAGGACGCTGATTGCTTCACTGTTCAAGTTGCTAACGTGTTATTGGACGCGGCAAAGGCTTCTGATTCAGTTCGATGAGTTTTTACCATTTGCAGCCTGCAGAAGAATGGACAGACACCGTGCTCACTCACCGGACGTGATCGGGTTCCGTTCGGACGAGCACCTGTCTTTGGTGCACACGGTGACGCCGTCCCGGCAGCTGCACGTGTTGCACTGGTGGTGCCAAGTCTCACCAACATTATTGCACGTCAAACCATCTGAAATCACAGCGTAACACACGCATCGTAACTACACTCACAGCAGGCGACAGGCTGCGACGGACCCAACTATAGCAGCGTCGACATTTCCCAACATAGCGCTTATGAGTAAACATTTTGCTCACAACTAATGTCAGCAGTACTAGGTTCGCATTTTATAACGTTCAGGTTAGTTGGTTTATTATATTTACTTTCCCATCCAAACGCTTTTTGTAGATTATTTAGCTCAAGCAAGTGAAGAACTACTTCGAGAGCACCTCTTGCTTACCAATTAACTTACTTAAAAAAGTTGCATTATTTGAAATGAGTTTTTAAACTAGGCATAATGATTTAAGCGTCCTGAATAGCTCTGAGCTTCGGATGGCGGTAAATGTGGCTAACAAATAAATACTCTCCAGATAACTTCTTTCTGGGGTGGATGTGCTAGTAGTAGGTGTGATGTGCCCACACACCGGTGCACGCCGGCGTACGTAAATGTAACCAAAAAACTACATGCGGCACGCCCCTTTTCACCCACGTTTCCAGGTCAGTGTTCTTTCCTTGTGCCCTGAGTTTCGCACCAGCGCGGTACGCTGCTTGCGTCGCGGGTATTTGTAGCGTATTGGTGGTGGCGGGATCAGACGTTGGCCGGGGCCGACGTCCCTTCTGTCCGGCACTACGGACTTGTCGCCGATCCGAGCTGACAGCCGGTGTCGCACGGGTGCGGCGGCCGTGGCTGCCGAGGTCAGCTGACCAGAATCTGCCGCGCCGCCTGAGCTAACGGGGGCGCCACATCCGCCGGAACCAGTGACATCACCTGCCAGTCCGGCCTGGGCCCAGGTCGTCAGCTTCCGACCTCACCCTGCGATGAAACATGCAGCAGCTGATAGCCGAATACGGCCGCCGCCGCCCGGCCAGCTGGCGACGGGTGCTCACGTGACAGGCAGCTGGATAGTACGGCGCCGCTCCTAATGTCCCCACCCCGCCGCCCTCCAGGACGGTCCAGCTGACCAGCTGCGGAGACTCCCGGACGGTGGTGCTGGATAGTACAACGCCGCTCCTAATGTCCCCACCCCGCCGCCCTCCGGGACGGTCCAGCTGACCAGCCGCGGAGACTCCCGGACGGTGGTGCTGGATAGTAAGGCGCCGTTCCTAATGTCCCCACCCCCGCCGCCCTCCAGGACGGTCCAGCTGACCAGTCGCGGAGACTCCCGGACGGTGGTGCTGGATAGTACGGCGCCGCTCCTAATGTCCCCACCCCCGCCGCCCTCCAGGACGGTCCAGCTGACCAGTCGCGGAGACTCCCGGACGGTGGTGCTGGCCCTCAGACGCATGCCGTCAGTCCGGTAGGCTGTGCAGCTGCTCAGACAGCACTTGAGTACCCCACCATGCCGCCGCGCAGCTTGTGTTTTTACGACTGCTGAAGAAATCGTACGTTTCAAATCGCGGCTCCAAGCGAAAAAGTCGACAACGGAATTTTATCGGGCGATTCGTCATTGTGCGAATGCATTCGGAAGTATAAAGTTTCTCCGAAGCTTCTGATATCAAGCTTCTCTTCACTTGTGCTAATATTGGCAGCGTACAAATCTTCCACGCCCTTGGCATCTGATGGGGACCAAAACATGAGTGCGCAATCACAAAGCCTTTAATGCAGGCGGAGACTTACTGCTTTAAAATGCCCACATCTCCCACATATCTTTGGTGACAGACGCCAACTGCCATGTCTGTCGGCGGTACGTCATTTGACGTTATCCATACGTTAAACGGTGTTGCGTATCCTTGAAACCAGACGGAAGTATCTTGTCCCATGTGTCATGATCGATTTGATCAATTAGCGAAAGTCCGGGAGGAGGGGAGGACTGGGCAGCCTGCAGCGCTCGGTTGTGCTCATCACCACCAGTCTTCCTGTCATCCGAAATTGACGCTCGGGGTCACGACCTAGCCCCAAGTTTCACTGGCCGTGCCCCGCTGCTGGCCCTACCTGTGGAGCCGACAGCCCAGAGCGTGACCTCAGCGTACATGTGCCGCTCACATGGCTGGACGGCTGAGCGGCACGTGCAGGCGCTACCACACCTCGGCCAATCCGAGGCGTCGACCTGACGCTGACGCACCGCTCGCCCATCTCGGCCGCCCCGTCGCTGCCGGACGCCGCCGGGAGTGGCCGGCTCGGCTTCATCGAAGCGGGGTATCGGCGACGGGCCGGGGGGGGGGGGGGGGGCGCCCCGCCCTTCACCGAGCTGACGCGCCAGCACCCCAGCCGACCGGCGCGGACATTGTGCACTCCCGCTCGAAACATGCTGAATGTGCATCAGATATGCCGCTTCAGGATCGCGTCGGAGTTACTTACGGAGACACTGGGCATGTCTGACAAGGCGCGGAAGTACCAGGCTAGCGATCGCCTCAGCACGGAGCGAGCACGCCAGATCACACACGACGCAAACTGACCTCGGCTCTCGCTCGCCGAGCCGGGTCTGGTGGGCGCCGGAAGTGGGGCAGTTCTAGCGCCCGTCGATGTCTGCCGGTGCTGGGTCGTGTGGCCCGCACCGTCCACACCTTCCGCACGGACCGGTCAGCGTGCTCCGCGGGCGTGCGGACGATGCAGGAAGCGGTCGTGGACGGTCATCGGTTTGTGCTGACACAGTTTGTTAGACATGACGAGAGTGGACTGTGTGGTGAGCGAAACGGGTGGCGGAGCTTGTGGATAGAGATTACTGACAAAGAAGTAAAACGTACGCATATGATCGAAGTGGGTGCTTCCAGGCCTGAGCAAATTAACATGTGTGTAGTGTAGTGCACATTTATCAGTCATGGCAACGCATACTGCCGCTGGCACCAGGTAAATAGATCCGCTTCAATCTTTGAGAACGCCTGTCGTTGCGCTTGACCCCGTTTGAATCGATGCTGGCTGATCTTTTGCCTGAGAAATCACGACTGACTTCAAAAACGTACCACGAAGAGACATCAGCAAATGGCGTAAAGTCTACAATGATACAACTACTTTTGCATCATCTGGCACTTCTTGATCATAAGCAATGCTTCGTCGGATGATTTGCCCCACATCCGTATCAGGCCGTTCCTAGGGCCTGCTGAATATTTTGTAGAGAACAGCAGCCTCTGCCACTGTTTGACATCTCAAACGTCACACGTAGCTGCAATGTATGATGCTCACTTGCCTGCCTTTGAGTCCTTCGTTAATCAGGGCTAGTGCTCGCCTCATCACCACTGGGCTGATATTTTATCTTTGAGTTCTCTGGGGGTTTGGACTCTTCCGTTTCACAGGCTCCGTCCGCCTTTAGGCCTTGCCTCTGAGGTACATAAGCCGTCTGAGGAAGCCTTTTACCAGGGGAGGGGGGGGGGGAGAGATATGAGCATCCTGCGCTGGAGACTTTTCTCGTTACCTATTTTCCTTCTAGTTCCTTGTCAGATAGCAGAGAAATCCAATTGCTTTAAGATGTCTCTTTTCGGTTTGGAGATGATTTAATGGCCATTTTCGTCGCCCCAAAAGTTCGCTGACCTCTTGCGGTCATGTCAATGGGGATGGTGCGCAGCCCTGTTCAGGAAGTATATTAACTGCATTCGGCCCTCCATCAGCTGGCTGATGGGAACATGGCAAAGACACAGGGCATACCATTCATCAGCTGTCAACAAACCGCTGTCTCCTGAAGATGCCGCCAGCGTAAGGTTCCAATGATCGCTGTTCAGATGTCTGACGCCTTACACGACTGGTAACTGACACGGCAGGCCAAAATTGTGGCATTTCCAAAACACCTGATTTGGTTTTCTCTTTACCACGCACTGCTCTCAGCTTTCATAATCAACAAAAGAATGCGTTCGCACCACGTTAAAATGTGCTAAACCCACCAGCTCCCAACGCCAAAAACACTCGCGTCCAGTTTGACCCATCACCAGCTCGCATTCTATCAATCCAGTAAATACACGGTCTGAGACTGTGACGTCACGTAGCCAGGTGGTGCCAGGGTTCGTCGGGTGCAGCTGACGGCTATTGCAGCAGGACTCAGACGGTGATGCGATGCAAACTGCCGGTACCTCCCTCCCGGGCCCGTCTCAATGGCGCCACGGCGACATGGCCGTCGTACCATGACTCGGGCGAATGCATCGGCAAGAATGCCAGGAATGCGGGATCCCGCAATGGGAAAGCGGAATTCCCCACTAAAGGGCACTTTCAAAGACGGCTTTGCAACCGCTATTGAAAAGAGGACTACCGAGGCAGTAATAGCGGGCCTTTCCAACTGAATGTATGGCCCCTGTAAATATGTACGTGGCAATGAGCTAACGCAACGCACGTCAACGGATGCACCCACTCCCATAAGCCTCTGCAAAGCGCCCCCCCCCCCCCCCCCACCCCCCGGCCAAAGCCCAGACGCCGCCCCCACACACCACAAGACTGTTACAGAGTGCTGGAGTGTGCTCGTCCGACAAATGCCACCTGCCGTGCGCCGCGCCGACAGCCACTGTTTGGTATTCCAGCCCTGGCGTCGACCGGCCTTTGGGGCCAACGCAGATGGCGCGGCAGCGTCGGCTCACCCGCCGACGCCGCCGATCAGGCCGTGACGACTTCAGACGGCACGGACCGCCCCGCCGGGCCGCTGCTGGGCTGGACTGTCACCAGCAGTGGCGGCGTGCGTCGGGGAGGCGCCGGCGGATGCGAGACGGAGAGCGACAGGAGACTAGAGCTGCAGGGGTGGGTTGCGGGGAGAAAACCCTCAGCATTTGGGAGTCAGACTGAGGAGCACCATGCATGCCTCCGACTTGGTTTGGAAAGTGGGAACGATCTATGGACGCAAACATGAGGCATGCGGTACATACTCAGGTTTGCTAACAATAAAGTGGTACCAACTCACGCAGCTATGCGGCATTTGCGCGCAAACAAGTTTCATCCGAGGTTATCGACGTTTCAGGAAAAATATTTGAGACGGATTTCCAGAAATCCACATCATGATCTTGTGTCCCGGACATGACCGGACAACGCGCCCTGAACACACATAGTTGGCATGACAAGC